TGTTCGATAAGATCGATCTTCGAGAGGACGTTTACATGCGGAAGCTCCAGATGCATCATTGTGTTTAGTGATAAAAGTGACGCCGAAATAAACTTCCCAGGATCGCTGCACAAGTGAGCGTCAACAAGGTGGACAGCGGCCAACTGCACACAAGCTGCGAATTTCAGCGATATAAGAACTAAAATCAGAGTATCAATGGAAAATCTAGAAATAAAAGTAAAACGAGAGCTCACCCGATAATCCCACTTGGTTGTCATCTCGTCGATTACTTTCTTGGCGTTGCTGTGTAGTGTGAAGAGCTCGACTTGACCGGGAAAATCAAAGAGAAAGTAGTGATCTAAGCCAAAAGGCAAGCATGAGCGAAACCGCATTTGAGCGAAAGCAGTACCTTTTTCTAAAGGCTTGAGCTTGTTCTTGAGCCAGTCTATATTCATCATCAAGTAATCCATGCAGTAGATTAGACCTGCAAAAACTCCAGAAAATAAGCTAGAAACCAAGTCCAAAGCAAACTCTCACCTCCATTTGGCCCCAAGTTGTATTGATTCATTACATCTTCCAGCCTCACGAGCTCCGCAATATTTACAGCACACTCATACCTTTGAAAAAACAATTCCATCACTCTTTGCTCACATTCTAGCGCAAACTTACGGTAGCCAGTCATTGGCCGGATCGAGATTGATCACCGCGGTTTTCCTGACACAAAACTTCGCTATAAGAAACCCCCGCATTCGCGATCGCGCGACGCTTACCTCCCAATGAGACCGAGGAATTGCTGGAAACCATTGCAGTAAGTCGTCTTCCCGGATCCGGGCGGGCCTATGACGATTTGCCCAAACACCATCGCATAAACCCTAGAAAAATATTTAGGGCTCTTTGTTGATGTGGACGGCTAGGATAAGCGCAGTATTTAATTACGGAATATTACTAGGCGACGGATTGGACGGTCAGGATTTGTCAGACAATACAACGGCGGGAGAAGGAAAAAAAAACACCGTTGTTCTTCCCAATTTCTCTTTAGATCAGGGTTTGGCGAGGACATAGCGTCACCGATCGGCCATCGCGATCGCGGCCGTGGGAGCTCCATCGCCTTCTCCGGGTGTGCATTCCCGATCTTCCGCAGCTGCAGCGGGGCGATCGCATTCGATCTTGATCAGGGATGACGCTAGGGTCGGGGCTGCCGCTTTGCCTCGCCGGGATCGACATTTCTCAGCAGGTTTCTTTCCCCTCTCTTGGATCTCAACACTGTTGACCATATTTCCAGGCTCGCTGCGTGAGGCAATACAAGAATGCCACTCCACTTTGCGGCGATTCAGCGTCGTCCTCAGGAGAATCGCGGTAAGGTTTGTGCGTTTTGTTGTTCTCTTGAGTCTTGGCTTGATGGAATCTTCTATTTCCATTTTCGTGTCAGTAGAAGAGTAAATGACCCTTACACGTATTCCAGAAGCGAGGATCGCAGTGATTCTGGCGTGGATATGGTGACAGAGACAAGGAAGGCATTCTTCCGCGTGGGACTAGCCAAAGAGTGAGTTGGGCGATCCTTTGTCGGTGAGAGTGATGGTTTTTTCTTTCTTTCCACAGGATGGAGTTCTTAGATCGCAGGCGAGAGGCGCTCAAGGAGCAACAACGAACACGGCAGGAGGAGCAACTTAGACGACTCAGGGAAGTGATAGAATCTAGAGCAACCCAAAGTTTCGATCCTGTCCAGTCCCATGGAGCTAGAGCTGCGTGATATATGTCTTTTTCCCTGACCCAGCATCCTTTCCATAGTGTGACCACTTTGGGAAGTTATGCTCCACTGTGTTTATTGTCTTCATGGTTTTCCTGTTAAAACATTCGATCGACCTACAGGATAAATTTGTCTCGGTCGACCGTGTCAAATTGTCAATTGTCGTGAGGTAGCCTCTTGAACTAAATCATCCTGTTCACTTTTTCTGTTGCTCGCAGATTCTCTATAAGCTTTGCTGCGCCCCACTGTGGTGGAATGACAGCCAGAGAACGCACTGAACCAAAGCTTTGGTACGGTTGCAGTGGTATTTATGATGTCCTGGAGAGTGTCCGCTCACGATTTTCAGGTGCTTTCAAAGTTCTTGCGCAGCTCATCAATTCATTTCACTCACGCTAACACTCGTCTCTGGTCTTACATCCAGGATGGATTCTTTCAGGATGCATTCGTTGGGAACTCCAGTACTGCTTTCGTTCGCGATCGTGACAGTCGTGTTTCTGTCAGTGGTATCATCCGACCCGGATCCTCTCCAGGACTTCTGCATCGCGGACCTCACCGCCGGCGTCAACATCACCGGCTTTCCTTGCAAGAACCCGGCGCTCGTCACCGTGGACGACTTTGTCTACTCCGGCCTGGTGCCGTCGGCCAACATTAGCAGCATCGACCGCGCTGGCGCAATCTTTGGAACAGTCCAGCGCTTCCCGGGCCTCAACACTCTGGGCCTCTCCGTGGCCAGGCTCGACATCGATGTGGGAGGGATCATTGTCCCTCACGTCCACCCCCGCGCCTCGGAGCTCGTCTACGTAGAGAGGGGCAGTGTCTACGCGGCGGTGGTGAGCTCCACCGGCAGGCTGTTCGCTAAAGTGATCCGCAGAGGAGAGGTGATGATCGTCCCCAGGGGTCTCCTCCACTGGCAGATGAGCACCGGGGGATCGCGTGCCAAGCTCATTGTCACGCTCAACTCCCAGTTTCCGGGGATCCAGTTCATCGCGAGGTCCATGTTTGGGCCCCAAGTTCCAGACGAGGTGCTGCAAAAAACGTTTTTTCTCGACAAGGAAACGATCGCTCGTGTTCGTTCCAAATTCTGAATTTTCTCCCTTCCTATAACGCACAAAATTTATTATTGTAGTGATTAGTTATGATTTACAGTAATGGAGGTATAGCTCAGCGGTAGAGCAATCGGCTGCAGTCCGATGGGTCGCTAGTTCAATTCTGGCTTCCTCCTCCTCTCTTTAACGCTTTTCTTTTAATTAAAAAAATTAAAGTTTGTGTAAAGCTTATTTCCAAAAGTCCACTTCGATTTCTAAGATTTTGGACTTTTGGATCAAACGACTAGTTCATCAAGTTGAACTGGTCCGCCGTTAAATGTGTAGCGAGCGTAGCCAGCATTTTCTTTGCACTCCTCGGACAAGAAAAACTTTGAGGAGTCTACCCCTGCAATTTGGCGAACGGAAGATCGTAGAACAAGGAAGCTTGAGCTTACTTTTGATGACAAAGACTCGAGAGAGGTATTTCTTGTAGATGTACATGTAGCTCGCAGCTTCGTCTGATAAATCCGAGATCACAAGCTTGCAAGCCTGCTCCGATGGAGATTCTTTGCTACAAAGCTTGAGATTATAAACTGGAGAAGAGATTTAAGAGCTATACCTTGCGTGTTCCATTGCGTTCAGGCAAAGTGCGAGGGAGTCGACCATGGCAACTTCCAGAGGCTGTCCATCGCCTCCATCGTCTTCGTAAATCCTGCGTGAGAGAGACAAAGTTTTCAAGCGAGAGGAAGGAATTTCGGCGCAAGCTTACCAGTCCTCGAAGAACTCCGAGAAGCTGTCGATGATCACTGCTTGCGGCAATGGATTTGCGAGATGGAACGCGGCAAAGTACTTGTCCAGATCTTCGTCGTCGCTCACGTACCTATATACACAGATGGAACTTTGGATCGATCGATCGATATGGAGCCCTCACTTGAACGAAATCCTCCGCAAGTGCTGGGTGTCCAAGTCCTGCTTGATAGAATCTCACATTCATTCAAAGAGAAGGAAAGCAAGAGAAAGAATGCCATGCCTCTGGTAAAGATGGAGGATCATTCTCCATGCTACTGCGCTTGCAAATGATCACAACGTTGGACAATCCCTGCTCGGAGACGAGATTGATCGCGAAGTGGAAGAGCAGCGTCGTTTTTCCTCTAGAGAAAAAGAAAGAAAAAAGAAGGCGATCGCAAGAGCGACATCTAGCTTACGAGCAAGATGGCCCCGTGAGAAGCACCGAATCCACACCATCGCTGGCATTTTCATCCGGAGCGATCGCGCGACCACGATCCAGAAAGAACTTGTGTAGTAGCGCGCCCATAAACCCTAAAAGGGTGGAAATAAAATGTTAAAATGCTAAGGGTTTACAGATCCTTTTTTTTTCGCGATTGGATTCATGGGCGATCTCAGCGCGGCAGAGGTCGCCAAGCACAAATCCGCGACGGACTGCTGGTTCATCATAAATGGCAAGGTAATTAGCTGCTAATCACCCAAGAAGAAAAGAGTGCTGAGCTTAGCTATGGCGTCCATAGGTGTATGACGTGACGAATTTCCTGGTGGATCATCCCGGAGGCGAGGATGCCTTGCTGGCCGTCGCAGGTAACCGCGGATTTCTCCACAAAATCTCCCAAATTCGATCGATGTTTCATCTCCTTCCTTATAGGCAAAGACGCGAGTCAAGATTTCGAGGAGGTCGGGCACAGCGACAGTGCCAAGGAGCAAATGGAGCAATTCCTGGTGGGATTCGTGGAGGGCTACGCCGGCGACAAGGATTCCAGGCCCGCGAAGCGATCCGCGGTGGAGGAGGAGGAGGAGGAGCCCGTGATGCGCCCTCTCGCGATTGATCCGGCGGATCGGCCGAGCGTGTTCCTGAAGTACGTGGTGCCGCTGCTGCTGCTGTGCTTGGCATTCGCGCTCCAGTTCTTCGGCAAGAAGAAAATCCCCGAGGACCCAAGCTCGTGAAGGGGCGAATATCTTCCTTCCTCGCAAACGAATATACGAATTCATTAGTGTTAACCTGCATGGTTCTGTTAGCATATCAGAGTCGATCCTGCGACCTGCTGGAAATTAGCCTACGACGCTAACGTTGCGCCACTTCACATGAGTCAAACACGGGTCAAAGTTCTCATTGGCGCGAAAAAGTATACGGACGCATGGCTTGATTATCCCTAAGAAAATTCCAGAGTAGTACCTTCTTGATAGATAGATAGACAGATAGATAGATAGCAAGGATATAGGTATAAGCTTAGGCTAGCCTTTTTTTTTTTCGTTGCTACCACCAAGACACAAAAGCAATCCTTCCCCACGGCATTTTGCTTGCTTGCTCGTTCCAGAGGAACAAAAGCAACGAACACAAATCATTGTTCCCGCCCCCTTGATGCTCGGCAAGGGGGAAAAATTTCCGCTGTCCGTACGTTGTTTTAGGGCACGGAGCGGCTACGACGGGCGTTCGAGTCGCTCCACCCCGCAACGTGCACTTGCCCGCCCCCGGATGCCGCCCGGTATCATATCATATCCCCACATTCATGGGGAGAAAAACCACACACGCAGAGGCGAGAGCCCTAAAATTCTCCATGTGTTGTAAGACGTGTGGCCTGCGCCACGGGCGAGTTGCTGTCCAATCCCCGCGCGCCGCAGATGCCTTCAGCGGGCATTTGCTGCATACAGTGCAATGAATCAGTCCTTTGGTTTGTAGTACCGAAAAAATGCCCGTCCATCGCCAGTCTTCGGTTTGGCTTTGCTTGCTTCTTCTTGCTTTGTGTTGTGTTGGTCCTGGTTTTTAATTTTATTTTTATTTTTTTAGCGTGGCTTGTTTGTTCTCTTGCTGTCCCGCGTTGCTATATAGCGTAGCCAGCGCCACGCTTGCTCTCTCCAACAGAGAGCTCCAAGCGATCTTTTCTAGCGTCGAGAGGATTTTCGCGACATCGATACGAGCGAGCCACTCCTTTTTTGCGAGGATATCTCCCGCGAGAGAGAGGAGAGAGGAATCGTGGTGGAGTAATCTTTGGATTTGTTTCTTTCGTGGAAGGGAGAGGGAGAGATGGAGCTGCGCGTGAGGAAGTATGATCCTTTGGGCGACGCGAGGCGAGTGGAGGAGCTAGAGCGGCTGTGCGACGCCGGGCCGAGCGGTTCCATGTCGCTCTTCGCGGATTCCATGGGCGATCCGCTGGGGAGGGTGCGGCATTTCGCGCTCTACACAATGCTGGTAGGGAATCCCTCCTCCAATTCCAATTCCCTCCTCCTCCACCGGTCGATCGATCGGGCTTCCATTACCTTTTTCTCGGCCGCCATGGATGGTTTCTTGATGTTCTTGATTTCCAGGTCGCCGAGATTGGCGAGGAGATTGTGGGAGTGATCCGGGCGGGGATCAAAGAGATGGTGTGCGGCAGGAAGCGGCTGAGCGGTGGCAGCGGCAAGGAATCGGCCATTCGCGCTCGCTGCGCCTACATTCTCGGCCTCCGGGTGTCGCCGCTCCACAGGTATCGATCGATCGAGAGGAATTTCCCTCCATCGCTTCCTCTCCCTTGTTCTTGATTGTCCCTTGACAGGACGAGATTCTTCTCTCGCTTCCTTGTTTCTTGGCGATTTTCTCTGACGATGACTGATCGCTGGTTTCAGGAGGAAAGGGATCGGCCTGGCGCTGGCGAGGAGGATCGAGCAGTGGTGCCGCGACAAGGGCGCCGCCTACGCCTACATGATGACCGAGAAGAGCAACGTCGCGTCGTCGGGGCTGTTCGTGGGCAAGCTCCAATTCCGCCCGGTGCGCAGCCCCAGCATCCTCGTCCACCCCGTGTTCCAGCACTGGGAATCGATTCCCTCCCACATCCGCCTCACGCGCCTGGCGCCCGCCGACGCCGCCGAGATCTACCGCTGCTACAGCGGCGCCACCGATTTCTTCCCCGCCGCGGACATCGATTCCATCGTGGGCAACGCCCGCTGCTGCGCGGGGACCTGGCTCGCCACGCTCAAGGCCGAATCAACGCCGAGCTCGGGCATGGCGGCGCCGCTGGACCGCCGCCATCCCCGCCGCCAAGTCTCCGTGAAGAAGCTGCTCGAGGGGGTGTTTAGCTCGTGGGCGGTGGTGAGCGTGTGGAAGACGAACGAGATCTTCACGCTGGAGGTGAGCGGCGCGCCGTGGCGGATCCGCGCGGCGGCGGCGGCGTCGCGGGCGCTGGATCGCGCGCTGCCGTGGCTGCGAATCTCCTCCTTCCCGGACGTGTTCCAGCCGTTTGGGATCCACTTCCTCTTCGGGATCGCGGGCGGCGGCGCGCGATCGGGCGAGCTGGTGGCGGCGCTGTGCAAGAACGCGAGGAATGTGGCGCGGCGGAATGGCTGCGCGGTGGTGGCGGCGGAGATGGGGGCGGCGGACCCTCTGCTCGGATCGGTGCCGCATTGGAAGAGCTTGTCCACCATGGACGATCTGTGGTGTGTCAAGGACTTGGTGGGGATCAAGAACACCGGCGCCACCGTCACTGCCACGCCCGATTCGGGTGAGAATTGGATGGATTTGCCCATGGGCTCCCCTGTTTTCGTGGATCCCAGAGACTTCTAGGCCTATAGCAAGCCTAGGATCGCTGACAAACTCCAGGATCACCATCACTCTCTCACTCACGCGCGAGGATAACAATCGATGGAGCAACCATCCACACAAACGCGGTTTTGGCGGAACGACTTTGTCTCACTGCCTGCGATCGCGGGCACTACAATTCTTCTCGTTGGCTCGTTCCGCTCGCTCGCAAGAGATTCGTGGAAGATCAGCTCCAGACCAATCAACGCGAATCCGCTACGTATGATTCAAGCATTTCACTCTGCCAGGAAAGGAAGAACACCAAAAGTGTGACGAGCGAAAAACAAAGCAAAAGCTGTTGGTTTGGTGGTTGTTTTATTCGCATGATTAGTAAAAGTTGACGGTGTGGTGGTACTGTGATGAGGAAATATAGATATTGTAGCCTATAGCATTCATAAAAAGTTGGCATCCCATTGGTGTGTCTCTGAGATATGCAAAGTTTGGCTCCTTCTCTGCAAATTTTTATTCGATTTTCCTGTTATTTGTTTATTTTGGCCCAGCCAGCCTCTGTTGTATAGGTAGATTGACAGACAGAGACTGGGGAGCTCCAAAAAATACACACACAAACACACACAACACTGTTGTGTTTTCTCTCTTTTTGTGTTGTGTGTGTGTTTTTGTCCTTGGGGGCCGAATTCTTTGTTTCTTCTTTGGATTTGAGTAGAGGGCAATGGCAGTGGCTCTTTTGTTGCTGTTGCTGGGCTTGTCGGTGTATGGCTCGACTGGACCCGTGCTGCTCGGCATAAGATCGACAGCCACTCCACCGCGATTTACAAGACTTTAAAAAACGGGCATTGTGTTTCTTATGCTAAGTTGATGGTGTGTGTCCGCGGCCAAGGCTCTTTGGATCCTGCATTGTCTAAATAGACAACGCTTGGTTGCGCGATGAATCAATCCCACTTGTAGTAGAGCTATTGTATAAAACATAGGGGGACTGTACGGAGGGTGGGGCGTGCACGCCACCAAAGTTTGGCTTCCAAACATTGTTCTTGAAGAGCATATCATGATCGATGACCCGGAAAGATTTTTTTCTTTCTTCTTTTATCTCTTTGTTTGTTCTATGTCTGTTCTTGTCCTTGGAAGAGAACTTTGGCGGAGATGCTGTACTTCCGCGGCAAAGTGATTCCGTACGTGCGAATCTATCTATCCTTTTGCTGGTAGATTCTCTGCATGCCGACGGCCGACCCCACTCGCTATGCCCATGCCCAACTCGGGCATATCGTAATTGAGACTCGCATGCACGGGGTTATTCCAGTGTAGATTCCCGCCCCAGCTCGCGCTCGCCGGGGAATCTTCTTTCTCTTTCTCCGCTCGTCTCGTCTTGGTCGTCTACGTGTTCCTTGGCTGGCTGGCATTGATTGATTGATTGATTGGAATGGGCAATGCAAATGGATGGATCAAGGAGCGATCATGGTTTTGTTGTGGAAAGGTGGCGTGGGAGCCTCGCCAATCGCCGTGACCCCAAAAGCATGGAAAGCACAAAGGGGATGGGAATTGAAAGCAAGCGAGAAAGAAAGCAATCCAAGCAATCCAAGCAATAAGCAAGCATGCACAACGCGAGATGCGCACGTTACACAATGGTATTATAAAGGCCAGAGCACGAGCAAGCTAGCTGGAGGAGGACTGGATCATAGACAAAGAATCAAAACAATAAAAACAGTCGGCTCGGTTCTAGCTTTACCAGCAGCCATTCAAGCTCCAATTCTCTCAACATCGCTTTGTGTCATTGATGCAATCGATCCCTCGCAACCGGACAGCGATCGAGTATGAAAATGCCCGTGTTGAGGAAGAACTAATATGAAAAGTTTTATGAAACTTCTCCCGCGCAGAGCAGGACAAATTGGAACTCGATAAGATAGAGCGGGTGTAACATGATGTGTCGACCGATGGGGATGGATTGAGTTGGATTGGATCAAACAACTAAACCGCGCTCAAGGAGAAAAAGAAATGGCTCTCAGGCCTGGAAGGAACATGATGTGTCCGTGGATGGTTCCACACAGAGCTTTCCCATAAACGCAAAGCTCGCCACCAGTCCACCACCACTTGTTTGTTACCCATATGTGCAGCAGTGACACTAAACCTTTGGCGGCGTTTAATAGCTCTTTCTCTTTCGATCGATCGTTCTCTTTCTCTTTCTCTCTCTCTCTCCCTGCAAAAAGAGGAAGTGGAAGCTCTGGATTAAGTACTCCTCCGGATAGTTTTTAATGAGAGGTGGAAGAAAAGTATGAGGGAAATCAGAGAAAGGGAGGAAGGATTGGAGTGGCAGAGTTGTTGCTGTTGATGGTTGAATTGAAGGCGAGCGCGGAAAAAATCGGCTCGGATGGCCCGAGATGGATGGATTTTGATTGATGGAAATTGACTTGCTCGCTCTCCCTCTCGCTCTCTCTCGGCGAGATGAAAGAGGGTAAAATTTTCCGGATGGAAGAGAGATAGCAAACGGTTGAAGCTAGCTTTGACGCGGGTCGCTGTCCCGCAATTTGGCTCTCTCTCAACTCGTGAAGATCTCTCTGGCAATTCCCCCGGCCTGCGCTGCGAGTAAAGAGAGATATGTAAGCTTTGCCTGATGTTTGCTAGCGCACAGAGATTGCGCAATTTCTCTGTGCTTTGTAAAACCATCGCCACAGATGTGGCTTTCAATCTCCACACATTGCCATCACTCGCTCCCACCACACAAAGTCACACGCACGCACACACACACACATACACTTAGTTCGCGTTTGATTTCATTTGGTTTCCTCTCTTTTTGGTAAAAGAAAGGAGAATGAGATCAACCCAAGTGTCACCATTGCCACCGGAAACTTTATGCGAGCAGAAACTCGCAGAGCGACAATAAAAAACAGAGGAAGAAGTGCTCCCTTTTCCAGCTGCCTGTAAAATTTTTTTTGGCTTGTTCCACTTCTCCTGCATTCGCGGTACTGCAGCTTCAAAATTTTAAATTCAAATTTTGTCAAAAGCCAGAAAGCGTACATAGTAGACGTACCTTCAAATTGGCGACAGCCACGTCAACGTACCGCACGGCTCGGATAATGATTAAGACGCGCTGCACGCTATCATTGTGGTTTGGTTGGCGCCGTTACAGTTCTGTACCGCCCAAATGGAGAATTAGAATATTCGCATCATATCACTTAATTAATTCTGTTTTTAAGGTAGCAAAACGGAATTAATGAGTTAACCTAAGCCGTGGAGTTAACCTTTTTTTGTTGTAGTTTAATTGTACAACAATGTAAGTATGGGAATTCATTCAACTCAATGAAGGGCAGCCAAAAAGACTGCCCACAATCTTTCAGCCACCTAACGCATCCAAACAAAATAAATGGCCAGAAAAGGGAAGATCTTACTGCCGATCATACATCAATCATCCGGGGCGAGATTGATGAACTAGAGGCCAGGCGAAAGCGCTGTTATGTTATCAATCCCTCCTTGTCTCGACAATTGCTCAAAGGATGCGCGGGGCTTGGTCCTGACAGAGAAGGATTGTTGCTGTTAGCGAATGACTGACGTTTCCAGTGACCCCCTCACGCTATGTAGCTTGGGACGACCCGAGAGTGGGGGGATAGGCTTTGGCTTTACCTTGTTGGATGCAAAGCTCCAGCTCCTCTATCGTTTTCGGAATGGACGTTGAAAGAACCTGGGAGGACAGCGACTTAAAGTTAGCTTGGATCCACAAGCGAGAAAACATATTATCACCTCGTAACCACTGTCGGTGATGAGAACCTCGTCCTCAATACGTATGCCAATGCCACGGTACCTGGATTAGCTCGGCTTGCTCAATCGGCTCATGGGAATACATCAAATTTTGCTGACCTGTCTGGGACATCGGCGTCCTTTGGAAAGTAGAGGCCCGGTTCTATTGCTAAAACCTGACAGGAACGTATCATATAAGCACAAAACGAAAGATCAACAGAATGTGTACGTACGTACCATACCAGGGCGGAGGGATTCTCCCCGTGACACTCCACCAGAATCATGGACATCCATCCCGAGATAGTGTCCTTCAAGCCAAGAAAAACACGTAAGTCACTCGAACAAGAAAACTGCAATCGCGTACCGATAGCTGTCGGATTAAATTTTCCAACGTCTGGTGGGGAATGTCCTTGTCCTTTGATACCAAGACCGATCAGAGCCTTCGACAACAGCTGCATCTGTAAGGCAGCTGTACCTTCAGAACCGTATCACAACTCGTTTTTGTAACAGCTGCTTACAGAGTGCGAGTGGATCTGTAGTAGATTCGCACCAGGATGGCACAACTTGAAGCACTCATTCATTGTTGATAGAACAATCTCATAAATTTCCCTCTGCAATAAAGTAATCTTGCTCAAGGACGAGTTGAAAACGAAGCAAGCACAGACCTGGGCCGGGCTAAAGGACCCGCAAGGTGGCCAAGTTCGTGTGATGTCACTGACGTATCCGTGAAGCTCGCAGCCAGCATCCATAAGGACCAAGTCTCCTTCCCGGATCTAAGCAACAAAAAAGAAAAGTCGGCCTCCAAACTTTGGAGCAAGAAATCTCACTCGTTGGTCGTTCCTAGAGTAATGTATCACGCTAGCATTTGCTCCACTTCCTACAACAGGAGGAAACCTGCAAGTATGAAACATAGCAACATATGAAACGGCAGGAAGAAACTAGTAGCGAACGGAAAAAGCAAGCACTTAAAGATCAAAGAGTTCCAGGTTTACGTTAGCAATATAGTCCTTACGCCATGCGCTGGGCTCCTCTGATTTTTGATTCGTACTCTATGGTAGCAGCCAGCAAATGTTCGTGCGGCCAGTGCTTTGACGTCTTTATAGTTTGTATGAATGCCTGCAAGATTGCAGCCAGTTAGGCAATCCATGTGCATTAACAACAAGCGCACGCGTACCTGTGAACTAATATCCGCTACCCGCTTCATCAAGCTGATCTCTGCGGGCGATTTAACAACTCTGATTTGGCTAGAATGTGGAGACAGGCTCCTCAACTTGTTCTGTTCGAAGGCCTCTTGAATTTTCGAAACCTTCCGGAACGTAGGACTCAGTATGTTCTCGTTACAATATACACCGCTGGCATACTTGACCATCTCACCAAAATACTATAAAGTGAAGAAAGTTAGCAGCAACAAAGCGCGAACGAACATAACGAACCTTTGGAATTTCGGCTATTGTATACGTCTCGTTGGCATGAAAAACAGACAGTGCAGCTTCTTTGTCCGCTAGAGTTCCATCCCACACAGACCGCTGTAATTGTTTTTTTCTGATCATGTTTTTTCAGGTAAAAAAAATATCATAGCCTTACCTCGGGATCTGGATCAGAGACGAACATACAAAGATCGCCATTGGCTTTGATCACCGCTATTCCACCAGGCTGTTGGCAGCCAGTATAGTAAAGATAATCCGAGTCTGGCCGATAAGGATAAGGAATGATATCACTCATCGTCTTGATCGGCGCAGAGCCTATCGCTACCA